TATCACGTTTAAATAAACATTTAATTAGTTAGTTGTGGCAACGCACTTCAGCCTTAGTGTCTTATGGACTATAAAGGTACAAATTATTATGCAGGGAATTGACAAAAAATAATATGTAAGTATAATATACAACAAACCAATTTAAATACATTTATTTTTATGGTAAAATAATTTATTCTAACAATATAACACAAAATAATTTTGTGTTTCGCCTTATAATTTTTATTTGCTTGTATAACTCTACCTGCAGGTGCAAAGCCGTTTTTATTTCCATTTTATAAAGATCGTGAGATTGGCTTTGGGTCATTTATTTGACACATACACCATAAATTAAGCCACGGGAGTTTTGAGGGGGAGGGGATGGGTTATAAGAGACCAATTACACGGCGTGTTGTGGGACTGAGGCACCGTGCCTATGGGATCAGAGCGCTGCCACATTCTGAAACAGGTAGACGGTGTTCTCCTGTTCCTCGTTCGGTTTGAACGCCAGAACGTATCATTGTCTGTTGCTGGTTGTTCGTGTGCTGTCATCGAATGAACCTATTTTATTTTATTTTGAACAGAGTTGATTTCACATACAACTTTATCACTAAGTAAGTAAATATTATTATATTATTTATTAAGAGGAAGCAACACTGGTTTTTTTTTTATAAACGTCAATAAAATTTTATTCGTTGCTCAAAAAACTTGAACATTTTATAAAAAGCTGCTGATATTGATACAATAATAGTTGAAAAATATTAAAAATACATAGGCACGAATTTGTTTTATAAGGATTTAAAATTCAAATGTTGAAACACATTTATCAAATGGAAAATTTATAAATTATTTTGTTTTGGTTAAATATTTATAAAATGTTTAACTTTTATAGCTAAGAATAAAAAATGTATAACAAAGTCGCACACAAGTATTTAATTCTGTAACCAAAGAATCTAAAACATATATAAACACAGTTTTCTTTTTATAGTTATTTTATGTTCAAATTTAGACGAAATTACATTTTATAAAATTACCAAGAATAATGATTTAAATTATTTTTTTGCAATTTAAAAATATTCTTCTTGGGTACTTGAAACTTTAAGAGTATATTATTATGTTTTATACACACAATGACTTATCACATGCAATATTTTTGGTAAAAACGAATTTAACCATCTTTAGTACTCAGAGTCGTATTTAGAGGGGGGGCAACAGAGTGTTTGGAGTTTGGAGTTAGTTGCTGATTGTGCGGGCCGTCAATTTCGAGTTTTAAATTGTATTAAATTTGTATTCAGTATACTAAGCTATACTTTTTTTTTGCTCCAGTTCGGCAAATACCTAAATATGGCTGTGGCAGTACTAATGCTTAGTTGCAAGATAAATTACTTTGATCACAATAATATCATCAAATATGCTAAATTACTAAGTAATATTATAGGCTAACGGAAGTTCGCTTAGAATCATTTTTTGTATAATATGATTTTAGAATTATTAAATTCAAATTTAACACTATCCATTACAGTAACCTACTTGTAAGGTACTATTCAAAAGAGCGACATCCACTTACCTGCTTTTTTATGTCGATTGTTTGCTTAAACAAGTAAATTTATTCAGGTAAACTTTATTTGTGGATTAATTTTGTTAATTAAATATTTAATTTAATATCAGGTATACAGTCTGCAATATTCTTATTTTAATTTTTACTGCAATCAATTTGGGTTACAATTTGTTTACGCAAAAATACACGACTCAATTGCGCACATATATTCCTTTTCACTTTAACAGGCTTAGGACTGTCTGCTTCGGATAGGCGTGATTGCAAATATGTGTGTGTTGTGTGTAACATAAATCGTGGATCTAAGAAAAAAAGGACACGGGAATAACTGTGAGGTAAAAAACGACATGAGCAAAAAACGTCACGGAAAAAAACGTCAAAAATGTATTTTTATCTAAAAATTAAATCATCGTTTCTAAGTTTATTAATATAATAATGGCATAATATTGTTATATACAATTTGGTGGAAAACGTAAAATAAAAATTATAAATAATAGTTTTAAAAAATCACAAATATCGATAGTACCTATATATAGTATTGCTGTTATACAACAAATTGCCAATTGAAAATAAAATTCTAACGGAGAAAAGAGTGAGGAAGGTAATTAGGTACCTCGTGTACTACTTTAATCATTTTATTATTAAACATTTCCCTTAAACAGTACAATAATTCAACATAATTTATGTTGTTAGAAAAAATAAAGTCATTTTTCTCAAAACTATCATATTGCCACTTACTGCCTTTTGTCTAAGGACGTCAATACTAAATACTATGCAGAAGAGAGTTCCCAGATCTTTACATTATAGACTTATATTATTATTATTATTTATAATCAAAAAATGTATTTCCAATCACATTTTAAACTTTATTTTATTAGAATTAAAAAAATGTATTTACCTCGTATTTATCAGCTATAGACTTTTCCGAATTGAGTATGTCCAATCTCCAAGTCCGTGTACATTGTTCCGCAAAATGTTAATGAACTTTTTTTTGTACATCTCCAGGTAAATCTTTTACGTCCTTGATGTTTCATAATATATGTATATCCTCTCCAACAAATTGTGTTATTTTAGGTTATTGGGGTAGGTACTGTAACATGTATTCATGTCGAAATGTAACTGACGCTTAGGATTGACACAAAGTGTACCTACCGTTAGCAAAGTCATGCATTTTAAACCTTTATTATGCCCAATACTCAATAGATTATAGGATTTTACGTACATTTTTGTTTATATACATACATCCCATCTACAACAGTTATTTGGTATGGGTTCGATAAGACACTTGGCCGGTCATTGTTGTTACCTAGACCTAGTATAATTGTACCATAATATTATAAAAAATAATAATGTACGAATATTAGATTACTTATTATAACTTTGCCGTTTTTTTCCGTGTTGTTTTTTTACCGATTACCTAAATCGTTATAATATCATTACAATATACTCGTTTACAGTATACTGTATAGGGAATATAAAAATAGAATACATTTAATATGAATTATTATAATTATTATTTTAAATTAAATTTTTAGGATGGAAATTATTCCCAATATGTTTAGTTAAGTCCAAGTTAAGAAGTCAACAGTTTTATTTTTATATTTATTCCACATAATATCTTGCATGTACGTATCTTTATGTACAGTTTTCTTTCTTTTATATTTCATTACATTGTTTTGCATTAAGTTAATGTTTAAATCTGTTTCACTTTGAATTTTTATTAGTATATCAATGACTTGATGTATGCGTGGATGTGGTGTATACAATTGGCTATTATAATGTTTATGGAAACTCTGCGCCATTCGTCGTCTTAGGATTACCATTTGGTTCACAAGCCCATATAAGATTGATGGAAAATTGCCGTTAGAGAGTCAATATAATTTTCTAAAATATAATCTGAGAATATAAAACTATCTGTACCAGGTGCTACCTCTATAGGGTCTATAAAGCCATCTGAAACTTCATTGGGTGGTAAATAACTTAAACCATAAAAAAACTTCATCCATTTTCCAACTTACAAATCTTTTAAGTACTCACATAATAATATTTTATTTTTTTGTATTTTCCTGAACTAATTTTTTCCTAAATGAAAGGAACAGCCTAAAATTTTATATTGAGGAAAACTTTGCAAAACCGCATTATGCGTTGCCTTTTCAAAATCAGCATGAAAATGTATTAAATTAATTTAATTTCCCATCATTTCTGAGCATATATACTGTGTAGTGGATTGCCACATTTGTATGTAATGTATGTTTAGTACCCCAAAAAAGTAACCTACAGGTACGTAAAAATTATTTTGGAAAACGTGAACCGTATAAAGTTGAACAAAATGATTAGGGGCAAATGAAAAAGTTCCATTCTTAAAAACGTGTTCAGATAATTTAAGTAATTCCAAGTTTTTTTTACACATAAATATAAATATGTTTTTATCATCATTGATAAAACAAAATTTATTACCTTGGTATTGAATAATATCATTTTGCATATTGATCAGTTGATTTCTCGTGTCGTCAGAAGATTTTGGTAAATTTGAATAGTGTTTTTTACTGGTTTCATACATTGATTTTGTTGTAAAATTCTCCGTGTTTCGTATCTCACGGCGTATCAATCTGTTAGGTTTTATATACAAATCGTTTCCTGCACTACGTTTAACGGTTTTAAACATATTAATAATGTATACGTTTATTTTATATGTATAGAATTTTATTTTATTATATTTTTTGATTTTATTCGCTTATCACTTATGAGGTTTCCACGTACCACAGGTTGAAAACCGCTAGTATAGGTAATATAATCTAACGTGATATTTTAGTATTTTTAATTTTACTAAAACTACGAATACTCATAAATAATTATAATTTAACTATTTAAGAGGTCGTAACACTGGCATTTGTTGTATCCGTCATGCACGTTTGTAATATGGAAAATTTAAGCTCTGCAGATCACGTTAAGCTTAAAAATAAGAGTGAATCGATCTATTTTGAAATAGGATTTCCTTTATAATGAAATGTGATTTTGTTTTATTTGCTCACCTCTACACTCTTACTCTTGTCTCCTTATCGATATCGGTTGATCGTGATTCGTGGCATGCAGCGTGATTGTACGACTGTGAATATTATTATTATTAATTGTTATTATTCGCTACCCGCTACCACCCACTTATCTAGAATGGCTGACCTGTTATTAATTTATTATCTACATAATATGTTTATTAATTTATTATCTATGTCATATTGTCATATAATCATTATAGTGTGGCAGTGTATTAGTGTAATATACTAATATCACAGCATAGAGTACTCTATGTATCACAGATACTACTATATTGAATACTCATATTAAATTAAGATACAATTAATTGATTATAATCGTCGAGCCTCATGTTGGTATTGTTGGTTTTATTCATAGGTAACATATAAAATAGATGACCGACTCAGCCGAAAAAGTCGTTCCGCGATTCAGTATATTATGCAGCTATCCCAATGGGCAATGACTGGCTTCTGAACTATACTATAATTATTATAATTTATAACTCTACTTTTTTTTAACCCATGGTGTTTGAACAACTAGAGCTTCCGGGGACTCACTTATTTATAAAACGATCGGAACGAATTTTTGTACCTAGTCGGGAGGCTCTGGCAGTTATCTGTTATTGCTTATTAGTTATTACAATGGCATTTAGTAATGAGTTAATGAGTAATGATTCGGGCATGATAAGATAAACCTATTTATTTTATCATGGAATCAGCCATCGATTTTAAAATTCGTGAGTAGTGATAGTGATTAGTGATTAGTGAGTAATAGCCAGAATTGCCAGTTACCTATTGATAGTTCGGTACTTTCGAGTTTCGACGAAGTTTTCGAAGTTAAATGTTTTTCGTTTTTGTTACTTCACACCGGCGGCACTGTGGCAGATTGTGCAAGTTCCCAACTTCGGCGGAAGTGATGCGGTAGTCGTCATCATGGCCTCCATTAAAATTTAAAATCCCTCATCTGTATGAAACCGATTCATTTGAGATTTGAGGATTTTGACACGTGTCCTACAGCATGTCATCGTCGTCGTCATTGTACAGTGCCGATCTAGATTGGAACATTTGGAGCAGTAGGAACACAGACAGCACCAGTTATAAACTTAAAATAGTGAGTGCACATAATGAACGTGGTTTGGTTTTCATGACTATTATTGTCTATAATCTATATTATTCCATGCAATCAGTGGCTGGCTTCTGGTTGTTTTTTCTTTGTGTGGTGACTTGTACCTATACTCTGTAGATAAGTACCACATTCTCCATCAAAAAAATATTCACCGTACTAAAACAATTTAAGAACATTTGAAAAATAATTACAATTGATTAATAAAGTCAATAATCAGTTACTTAAAGCTTGAAGAATTGAAATTAATTGTAGACTATCGATATACATACCTAATATATTTTAATATTATAATTTATGTTGATGAAGAATGAAGATAGAGAACCTTAACCTAACCTTTATTATTAAGGCTCTCTAGATTAAGCTATAGGTATTGGCATATTGCACAGCAGTCACAGTGAACAGGTTACGTAGGTGATATTGAAATATACTTCATATAATATTATATTATGATTGTTACTTTGTAATATTATACACCATGGCAAAAGAATTATTTTTTATGAGGGGAACAAAAAAGTAAAACCTAATCATTCTAAAATTATTTGTACACATACATTTATATATATGTATAATAGAACACCCTTCTTAATATACATTTTTTGATGTTGATATAGGTATTAAAACATTTAGTATATTAAAATAATATACAAATTATATAAATGTGTATAATAATTATAGTAATATGTACCTAAGTACAATATAAATATTAAATACATTATATTTATTTGCTGTATTCCTTTTTTAGGAAACATCATCATAATATGATGTGGGCATGTACACTATAAATTCAATAGCAATATAATTTCAAATTTTAACTTGGTTTACATTTTTGTAAACAAAATATAAATAATATTTTTAACTAAAATATATTAGTAGGTATATATATATATATATATACCAAGATAATTAACATCTTTATTTTTTCCTTGGAATAATTTTATATTTTTATGAATATTTTATATCATACTTTTATTTAAAACATATTAAAATAAATATAAATATATTGGTCTGGTAAAGTCGGTAACTACAAAATTGTCTTTTGGATATTTTTTTTAAAATATTGAGACAAAACATAAAATATATTTACTTTATGCTTATAGATCATAGATAGTTGCTACATGTCGGTGTACTCAATAACAAAAATTGAAAAATTAAAATCCATCTGTACTCAAAAGTAACAATCTAGTACCTATAGGTAATAATTTTTTTTAGTATTTCCAAATATTGATTTTCTTGGTGAAGTTCTTAAAACAAATTTTTAGGGAATTAACTTCAAATTAACTTTTGCTATACTAGAGTTATGAACTTATAAAATCATTATGATACCATATGATTTAACCTCTTTTCTGTCATCATGGACTTCAAATATGATTTTGGTCTTCTCAATGCACTAAAATAACATTCAGCTATAGCTACAGATGGTATTGTTAAAAATAATTAAATACATTGAATAAGTTTGGTAATTTTAGAAAACAAAGAATATTTTACATTTAAACATTAATTTCCCAAATTATTAATAATATCTGAAATACTAGTGATAGATACCATAAATAGTAATACAATAAGAACTTAGAATCTTATTGTAATGCTAAATCCAATGAATAATTACTACAATTTAGAAAACCACTTTTTGGTTGAATATTTTCAATTCATTTTTTAATAGTGGCCTCTTAAATTTGATGTGGATAACTGAGAAAGTAACTCGTATTAATAGTTACATTTATTGTTGAGTCAAAAAATGTGAAAACTTTACTATTAGTTGTACTATTTAAGCCATAGTATACACCATTTATAGGTGTACTAAATATTTCATTAACTTTCAAATTTGAATTGACATAGAGAATGTACAAGAACAATTGTTCTGCGAAAGAAAATTTCAGTAACTGAATCAATAATTATAGAAAAATACTTAGAATTTTTATTGATGTCACATGTTAACACTGTAGATTTAATGACATTATTTCTAATATTTCATTCTGTATATCTGAACTAAGCCAGTTATTTTTCTGTTATATTTAAAATCTGATAGATGGAACATCTAGACATCCTCCTTCTAGTAAAGAAAAAAAATTGACAATTGTCATCATTATTAGAATGATGTCTAAGTTCTTAATCCCATCTGACTAAAATATCGCAAATTATTATTATTACAGTATTGTAAGTAGTATTTATTGTAGTATTTATTGCAAGTTTTCAAGTTGATAAATCAATATCAATACTTAAAAGAAAATGTACCTATATAGTTTTGTGTATTTTACTGTATTCGTGTGAATGCAATTTTATAACTTTTTTTGCCCCACTTTGATTATATCTAAGGGGTCAATTGCTCCTTTTGAAAATCAAATTAACTTTATAATGCACATTGAAAACAACCTACTCATATAGGTACTCATATACATATACCTAAACAGAATATGCGTTAACAATGTATTCAACATTAAAGTTTTTAATAACAAATAAATATGTAAAAAAATATAAAGGACTTATCTATATTCTAGGGTAGGGCTCAGGGCTGGCTGTATTTTTAATATTTTAAAGTACCTGTATGGCTGTATACTGTGATTCGGTAATTACCGTTGTTACCAAAAATATCATATTTATTATTTATTATTTTTTTATAATTATTATGACATAATATATTATAATTTTCACTTTTGGAAATCATATTACTTGGAACTAAACAACTATTTTTATAATATAAATTCACGGAGATACGGTATTAGCCGAGGTATGGTATTTTCGTTAATTATGCTCGAAAACTATTACTAATATAGGCAATATAGCATATAATAGCTATTATAATAAAAAAGGTACGATTTCCGTTTCCACTAAAATTTATTTAAGAAGTTTCTGCCAATTATTATTTGGGAACCATGTACAATTACAACATATTTTTATCATATGAAAATATCTTCATCATTTTATAGTTATATATCACATATTCATTATATTTAAGTATTTGGATATTTCAAATTATAATAAAAGTAATAATTATAGTGACTTAAAAATATAAATTATAATACAAATAGATAATAGTGTTGGCCAGCGATATCGATAATTCGGATATCGTGTGTATTTTCCGAATAATTTCGATATCGTTATCTAAATATAATTATCGAAAATATCGTGATATCGGCTTGGAACAATAAAGTTGACGGATATTCACTTTTATTACTTTTATCTATAATAAATTATAGCATATTGTGATATATTTTCAAAGTCCTACGATGAAACAACTTGAAGAGTATAAAAATTTGAAAATGAAAATTCCCTACAATCAAGATCCTTGAAATTGGTGGAAACGAACCTAAATACTCGGCCGTATCATTACTAGCCAAAAAATACCCAAGTATAGTGGCCACTAGTGTTCCCTGCGAACGGTTATTTAGCGAAACTGGAACAATCATCTCCAAGAAAAGAAATTATATTATCTCCTGAGCGGCTCAATCAACTGTTATTTCTGAATTCATTTTTCAAATCGAACCCAAGTTCTGAAACATTGATGGAAAACTGCTAGAAGAAGATATATTTTGATTAAATGATACAATTTGTCTAATAAATTCTTTATAAATAAATAAATAAGTACTCAATGAATACTTTTCATTTAGTACAAAATAATTTATAGTTGATAATTAATTTACACTCATAATTTATTAATATAATATGTATTCTATAATTTTAATATGCTTTGAATAAACTAAATTATATCGATATCGGTATTTCTTCGATATCGCGATACGGTATCAGAAAAATAAATACGATATCGATTATTGAAAATATATCGCTGGCCAACACTAAATTAGATTATAATACTTCATTTGTCGAGTATAGATACAATTAAATTAGTTTAAAAAAATTACATATTTAATATTTTTAAATATTTGCCCGATAATCTGAAAACTAATATAGTGTTTTCAATTTTATACATTGTAAAAAAACATAATTATTTTCGTAATCCTGTTATCGCTATATCCCCCCCCCCCGAGCAGACTCTAAATTCCCCTCTGGGGGAATTCCCCCCTTCCAGTTTGGAATCGCTGCTCTAAAGCGAAATTTTCTCGCCGGTTCAACCCGGGCCTGAAAACAACAATTTGATAATATTGCATCTTTGAACTGCTACTAAGGGCTTCCAATGTGCTAACTGCAAGTATAAAATATGCTTGGTGTCACTAAATAGTTAACATAGATAACTGTCCACATATCACAGTACTGTTTAATTATTATTAACAATGGAAATATTTTTGGATATTCAGTCACTGCACTCACTGCAGTATGTCGCCGTCGGTATACAAATATCGGTATATATCATATCATATGGATATATGGGTTACAACTCTAGGGATTGGCCAAAAAATCCAATTTAAACAAAGTTCCAAGTCTTTCAAAATATTACTCTCAGAAAAATCACTAACGCCTCCTTCTTTGTTTCTAATTTAACTTTCCTCCAAGATCTAGCTGAAGCGAAACTTTTTTACAAACGTTCCTTTGATAAACTTGAAAATCATCCTAACCCACTAATAAAAGGCGTACATACTTTCTCTATTTCTCATTCCCTGGAAACCCACAACGAAGACTTAAAAGAAAATGGTGTCGTAATCATTTAAATTAAATATCCCTCCTTAATTAGCCTAAACAAATCACCAAGTAAGTGTCGCTAATGGGTGGCTTCTTACTCAAAAATCCATGTTTTTTAACCCTTATCCTATACGCTTATTGTACAAAATTGTATAGATTGTGTGTGTACTTGTGAAAAAAAAAAAATTAAAATTAAAATGAATTACAAAATATTTATATAAGTTTTTAAAATTTGTATTTGTTTGGTGCTTAATGTTTTTAATATTTATATTTTTTGTGAATTTTGTATTGGCATTTGGCAAATAGTAATAGTGTTTTTATGAGGTATTAATGAAATATATATTATATATTAATTTAATAAAATTATATTGAGCAAAAATTGTATATTATTATTATTGTTTGATATTTTTAATTTTTGTCCGGAGGGGAACTATTTGTCCCGTTCGCTGGGGAAACGTCCTAGATTCACAAATATCGCACCACCTTCAAACCACAGGTTAAGTGGGCACATTAGGTACCATACAGGTCTGCTGTATATTGACTATTAAGTGTCTAGAGAAGGATGTGTTGAATATGAGTTCAATAATACAATGTATCATTGCACACGAAAAACAATTCTGAGCGAAAACGGTTTGTCAGCCTACAATATTGTTAAGTAGGTATATTTTATCCGAAGTGTTCGTCCGTCTGTCATGTCTACATGCTTATAAAAATTATTTTCTATTTGGTCGGTCTACTGTAGGTATCTACTAACTTTGTACAAATTGTTAAATAATCTGCTAAGAATTATATACCCATAAAAAAGTATATTTTACGGTTTTTTTTTTGTGATTAAAGTAATTTTGTAACATTACATAATAGTATTGCAGTATATTAAATTCATTTTTGTCGAAAAACTTGAATTTTAAAATGTCCTTATGTGTATACTGTATACAATATAACCTACTCCTTAAGTCTCAAGTATCTACGGTTATATTCGTTTGAAATTACTACAAAATAAGAAAATTGTTCCTGTTTCATGAGAAATCGAGTGAATGTCCAACCAGCGGCGAATCCAAGGAGTGATAGGGTAAATATCCCTCCCCCTCCTTGAGCTTATTATATTTTAACTTATTACATTGTTTTGATTAAATTCATTTGGAACGTAATAACTTTTTTCAAAATATAATTTTAGGATATTTATTAAATTATTTACTACTTTTATAATGTTAAAAAATGTTGTTCTACGTTAAGGTAGCATCATTTTTTTTTTTTTTTTGATCAGTTCTATTTGTTACACCTTGTATATACAATATTTTTCTAGCATCCTGATGATTTAAGAATAATATTAATTCAACTTACAGGCTATCGAATTAATAATAAGTAATAACAATATAAAAAATCCTAGACTGTCCTCTCAGAATTGTTTTTCGTATACAGTGATATTATTATATCATTGAATTCAAATTTAAAACCACTGATTACAGCGACCTTCTAGACACCTAATGTACAGCAAAGTGACATCTACTTCTCGCTTTTTACTTTTGACCCCTCAAAGTATAGCATCTAGATTCACTTTCTTACTAGAAAAGATGCTGAAGTGGAAAATCGACTTATTCATACTTTGATAATATGTCCATCATCCACTATCGATCACTAAACATAATATGTATTTATGTATACAATTTGCACGCTTATTTCAAGTTCATACTTTTTTTTCTAAAATTAAAGTCACCACTGGTGGTGACATTTTTTTTGTGGGGGCACGTGTATTTGTCGCAGTCTAGTGTTAAGCTCTATCTTGTGTCGCCGTGTTGGCACATTTTAAAAATATAATAAAATGTGTTAATATTTAAGCCACTGGAGTAATAATTGCTTATATGAAAAAAATTACCTGTAATTGACTGTGGATTTCTACGTGCGACAGTCGGGCCGTTATTTATTTATTTGTTACATTTTAAAGAATTGTTGTAATGATGTGTGAGCATATCATTACATTACTCTATGGGTCGTCAGCACGATTTAAGATAAGATGCAGGTTGAATATCTGCGGCGCTCTACCTGTCACGGTACTGGGATAATCATAAATATATATTATATATTAGATAGATATATATATATATATGTGGGGATAATATATACTGTATTGAAATATCCAGGTAAAATAACTTGAATATTTTGACATAGATATGCCAGCCTATCTATCAGATCATTAGGTTAAATATTATTATTTATTATCATAAATACATTTTTAATTTTGATCGTTAAAACCAGAGCAAACTGTCACGACTCAAAAGTTGTATAATGTAAAAACATAATATGCTTTTACTGTGCGTTGATGTGTAATGACTAATGAGCAAATCATTTAAAGTTAGAAATTAACAACTATTATTAAAAAATGTTTTTTATAATTTTAGATTGAACAAGAATTGTTAAGTCCTACAGAATCAAGCTTACAACATTTAGAATCAGGTATAATTTGTTTAACTTTTATCTCAATGAAAAAAAATGTTTTATATTGCATTGAGTGTAATATTAGGATTCATCGGGTATCCAAAATTAAACGAATCTATAAAAAAGTCTATTAGCTTCTATATTTTATATAGTAAATTATATGTTTGGTTGCTTTTACTGGGATTAAAGATTTAATTTAATTAAAAAATAGGTTACTACCCTCCTGTACAGACGTACAGTAGGAGTCAAGTGTACCTCGACATCGAGAGAAGTTAGTAGTTATGCAGTATACTGTAATCTGTAAATGATACACTATTGTGATATTTCAACTGAATAATGGTTCTGAACGGAGACGGTCGTCATCAGCCTCTATTACTAAGAATATTTTTATTATATATTTATGCTGCTATTATGGTAATTCGTTTAATATAGTGACTAAAGTATAGTCTGTAAGTAATATGATTATGGTAGCTGATAGGTTGAATTAATTGTTGACAAACATAATGCATTATTGGTTATTATATTGTTTTTGTTAACTCTTGAAGTTAATGCCAACTTACCCTAAATGGTGTGAATTGATTCGTGGTAAAAACATGTATTAAGTATTTTATACAATATTAGTATGTATTGATATATTGGTACCATATACTTGTCAAAATTATAAAATCATAACATAAATTGCAAAAAGTTTGTGTTTGATGGTATTTTTTTTACTTTTCTTATATATTTTCAACACTATCTACATTGAGGACGTCGCACCCCCATGTGTTGTCTCCGCAAATTTTTTTTCAACGATTTCAATAGTGGGCTGTTATTTTTGATATTTTCTTTGTATAAAAAATTATATGATTGTCAGTCCTGAATTTCCTCTTTTGGTTAACTATCTAATGGTTACGTATTAATACATTCTCAAAAATGTTAAATGACAAGCAAAAATATTTATTTATAGGAAAAAATATAATGTATATTATATAAGAATGGACAAATTTTTCGATTTTGCATTTATAAAAAATAAAAATAGTTCCATTTAAATGTTTACCCAATACATAACTAAATACCTCATTTCTTTTAATTTTTATTAATCATAAACATGACGAAACAACATTAACCCATGTTTTAAATATATGTATTATATATATCATATTGTATTGGACAAATTTCTAAATTTTAACTTTTCATTGTCGCATTACTTGTGTAAACATAACTATTTTTCCTTAGGTTAGGTTAGGTGAGTGAGGTAACCATAGGCGCACATAGGGAGGGAGGTGCTTAGCACCACCAGGTTTAAAATTAGCACCCCAAGTTTCCTTTAAAATTTATTTCAGTAATCCACCAATAATTTGTAAATTATTATGGTTTATTGAGTTGGACTTTTTTTTTCCATTATAATTATAAATATCTATTTAAATAGACAATATTATTAGAGTTCACGAATTCGCAGTATTGTATGATTGCACGTATTTTTCGTCTAAACATTAAACAATAAACAGCGATCATAATATTATAGGAAATTATATTAACATTTATCTAATCTAACTTTATATTCTTATTATTATCTACTGTTCACGGTTGGCTAGACAGTCGATGCAATAATTATAAATTTAGAAAAACTCGGAAGAAAGCTTAGAGCTGGCCGAATCTGTGGACAACTTTTTTAACTAAGATGAACATAAAAGTGTGTGTTGTATAAAAACTTATAAGGTATATTTGATAAAAAATAACTAACTATTTAAAATATTTATTACATGGTCATATCTTTTGAAATATTATTAGTACATAAATCTGTTTATGTATATCAAGATATTTTGAAAATATCAACAACTAGTTTATTAGCCGAAATGTAGTGTACCAGCCAACTTTGTATTTGAAGACTTGAAAAATCAATGTCATAAATGTTCGTTTCCAAATGTCTATAAACTAGTTGAAGTGGAAATGACAATTCCAATTTCTTCTTCAACGTGTGAACCCTCATTCTCGGCTATGCGTAGATTGAAAATCTGGTTACGCACCAGTATTGGCCAAGAAAGATTTACTAAGCTATCTACGCTTAGCATTGAGAGAGATCTTACCAATAAAATAGATGGGAAAATTATATTGCAAAAATTTACATTATCAAACAGGAAAGTAAATTTTGTTATTATTGTATTAGGTGGGTGTGGGGGGCAAATTAATCCAGCACCCCCTAAATTCACACCCTATGTGCGCATATGAAGGTAACTCGTGTGCGCGTAAAGAACTACAGGACACAACTAATGTAACCTGAAAAACTCTATCGACACAATTAGGTGTTTGGGACATACTCGTTTATAACCGTCCGGATAAGGTTAGATTTTAATGTGGACTCGCTTTCAACTCCCCCCTCTCGGCCCCTCCCACCATACACACACACTGTTGGACCACCCCTGCAACACATATACAATGTACTTCTATTCAAATGTAAGATTTTAATTTCATTAATGTAACTATGTTTTTTATTTTTTAGATTTAAATATAGAACTGAGTCAGTCGTTGAGAACATATTTCAAACAATTTGATACTGATAAACAATTATTTTTGTTTAAAAACGTAAGTTACATATTTAGTATATTTATACAAACCAGAAAAAATTTAATAAATTATTTTAATGAGTCATAACAATAATATTTAGTGTATAGTTTTAACTTATAATTATGACGATTAATGTGCAACCAGAATTTGGTCAAGTGCACTCCTTTTGTGTCGTCCCCCACTATGTCCATCCTTAGTTTGACGTGCTGAATGTTACATAACATTCTTCATAGTTGTGTTATCGCTTAAAATGTTTCTAAGTCAAACTATTACAAAACCGTTATTCATATATAATTTACCTATATTATATTCTATATTAAATAAATATACTTAAGAGGACGCCATACCCACATGGCCACATGGCTGCATGCGTTGTCATTTGTCACTTGTCTTCGTCTTACAAACGTATAACATAGCAAACTGTATGTTCAGAGTAATTAATTAAACTTCATTATGTTTAATTTTAGAATGAATTGACCTATTACCAAATCTAGGAGTTAATATTATCTAGTTGATAACCTGGTTTCTTTTTGATATTTTATTCTTAAAATACTCATAATTCGCATTCAAATTGAAGTTTAAGCCTTCGTCATCAATTGGCGACTAGATAAAGGTTTTTGTGAAATTCACTACCTATTTATTTTTTTATTAAAACAGTGTGTATATATATAAGTGTTTTGCATTATTTTTTTTTATACTTTTATTTTGACGTTTTCTCTTTTAAGTCTCAACGATTTTTCTATAACCTGAGTCTTAGTTTAATATTTACTATGGAACTTTGAATTTCTAGTAAGTACCTACCTAAAGTTATAAGTATTTAGCATTATATTTGAGTATAATTGTTAGTATAATATGTAATTTTTTTTACTAATTAAATTGTTTCAAAAATATTTTTATAATTATCAGCAGTCAAGATGTTGATGTAGCAATGCTTTTGAGCAATTGAAAACACAAAGACTTATTGTGGTCAAAAGTAAAGATTATTTAAAAAAATCTTCAGGAACTGATTACAACATTTTTCATCTACACATTTTTCAGCTGTAAATATTCAGAAAATTTGATCTTAATATATAAAGCCTATAAAGGATATTAACTTGTAAGTAAAACTAATCATTCAAAGCTTATTTTAGATGGTTTGTTCTGTCTTTACTCTTTTGTTTGATAACATTTTAAATTGTAATCCAAAATATTAATATACATTATTTTATGTGATTGCTTAATTGTATATACTTTTATACACAGTATTCTATATAAAGTAATAATACAGTATGGAATAGAACTTATTATTTATATTATGTAAATTGGGTGTTTTTAGAGAATATTTATCTTAAAAAAAGAAAAGAATTTGTACAAATTATAATCCATTATTTTTCTTTACTTTAAATAGTATGAAAGTATTAATAATGTAAAAGTATTTAAAATATATTTATTATTATCTTAGTATTCAAGTATAATTTCTTATTTTAATTTAATTGAAAACAAAATTATTTTATTTTACTAATAATTGTTTAGTTCTCTATTTATTTTGGATCAAAAATATTCTATTTATTATTTTCATATTTACATAATTAAATTCAATAATATTAAGATAGTGGTTGCCAGTTGGTTTGATTGACTTGTGGGTTACTTCATGACTATAATTTATAAAAAATAATTGTGGAGTAGTTATTGTTTTTACTCAAAAGAGACAAGAGAGGTAGAGCAACATTTTTTACATGTAGCATATAATTATAGTTCAGTAAACTTAAATATAACACATAATATATATTTTCTGACTCTAGTAGTCTAGTGGGTATATAGTATATAGTATTTATCTATTGAAAAATAATAATATCAATGTGAAGTAAAAATTACTACTTTGTTTTAATTACTATTATTATTATGTGTAGATTAATACTGACTTTTGTGTGGAAAAAATACATATAATTGGAGAAATACTAGAAGACTTCAAGAAAAATATTATAGTTACCCTTCCCAGGGTTGGGCACTTTTCAATTACAGTAATTCAATTACTTCAGTAATTTGTAATTGGTAATTGATTATAAAATGTTGATGTAATTTGTAATTGATAATTAATTACATAATATTTGTGTAATTAGTAATTTATAATTACCAACAATTACTTTCTAGTATAAATTTAAAATTGAACTGCACAATTCAAAGTTTATGTTTCTATCAATTCTATCCACTGATAAATGTAATGGTTAGTAATTTGTAGCGATACTGAAAGATTATTTTATTACAGATATTGCAATTTCTTAACGACAAAAATAAAAGTTTTACATGTTTAAACAATTATCTTGTTGTGAAACAATTATTTATTAATTATAATACTAATATTTGTTCGTCAGCACTGGTAGAGAGATTGTTTTCATTTGCTGGCTTCATAATGGCACCTACTTGTTCCCAGTTGTCTGACGAACAATTCGAAAAACTAGTATTTTTAAAAGGCAATCAAAATTACGGGATTATCTAATTTTTCTATGTACCTATATTTTTCTAATGTTTTTTTGATTTAATTTATACACTTTTTTTATATAAATAATTTTTAAATGGAATTGGTAATTTTAAGTAATTCAATTATGTAATTTGTAATTTATAATTAAATATTCTACAATCAAGTAATTAGTAATTTGTAATTAAATACTGGTATTTTGAGTAATTTGTAATTTGTAATTAATTACTTTTTTTTTGATAATTTGCCCAACCCTGACCCTTCCTGAGAAAGCAACGGCTGAAAGAACGTTGAGTCAAATAGTGTACACTGCTGAAATTCTCTTAAACATATAGGTTACTGAATACTGAGTATAGAATAACATTTAAAACCACCTATTTAGGTTTAAAAGAAACCAGGAAACTATGGAAATGATTCTGAGCTTATTATTTTGTACTAGTTGAAAAGCAGATTGATACAGATATTGAGATATCAAATATTTTACATTACAAAGATACATTTATCGAATTTATTGAGTTGGAAAAGGCATTTGATACAGGCCTATGGATAGAGCTTTTTAAAACACTAAAATAAATAATTGTTGATTTTAAAGATACGTGGATAATAAATATTAAAATATGTATACAGAACAATCAGCCATAAATCATAATACAAATGTTAGGCAACACCTTGATATCCAAAATAAAAAAAGTTGAAAAACAGGGATGGATCAACAATATTATTTAATATTTGTGTTTAACAATTTAACAACAAAATCATTAAAGAAACACTTATCGGCAGGGCTTGTAAGTTCATGCACTAAAAAATGCAAAAATGCATTCATGCACTAATCATTGGCAAAATATGCATTCAAATATGTTCTAATAATTCAGAAATATGCATTTATATGCACTAACATTTTTAAATTATGCACTTAAAATATGTATAATATAAAAAAATCATACACAAATTTTGAAATAATAAAATGTATCCATTTTTTATCTAAATTTAATTTCTTTTCATCTTTTTAAATTTTATAACATTCAAAAATCTAACTTCTTATCAAAAAATCTTATCTAAAAATCAACACTTTGTTGCCATTATTACGTTATTATTATTATTAAATCTGCGGTATATTGTTATGAACCCCTGAATCATATTATAATATAATATTATTTTACATGATATTTCTTAAGACCATCAGGAATAGTGTGTTATACGAGTATACGACGGCGAGACCGTGGAATCCGCTGACACAGGATTTTGATTGTGACACGGAGCGTCGTCGTCCAACACACTATACGGGAGACGAGGCAGTCGTCTTTAGTCTTAATATTACGTCTGAACCGATACATTGTCATTAGCCGTAGTAAATAATAAAATATAATTTTTATTTAATTATTTTGCGTGCGTTATTTTATTTTGTTGTGAAAATTCATAACAATATTATATAACTGGTGGTCAGACAAGAATAAAAAAAAAATCAAAACAAATACTACAATTTTATAAATTAGAAAGTAAATAAGAAATTAAAAAAAAAAATGTATTCTCTAATAACTCTAAAAAATCTACTATATTCCAAACATGCCTTTAGCTCTCATTCCTTCTTCGATTTTGATAATGCAGACTATATTAATATATATAATTTTATTTCTAATTTTGATTGGCCTTCTACTTTATCTACTCTCAGTCTTGATATTGGCTATTAGTGCCTTGTACGATGCTTTTCACCAGTCTGTACTATGTTTGGTCCCAATACGCCACTTTAAGCAGTCTACCTTCCCTATCTGGTTCACGAGTGAGTTAAAAAAAATTTTATTTATGAAAAAAAAGGCTCATGCAAAATTCAAATCCACTTTTAACCCTAACGATTACAGACACTTTTCACTTCTTAGGGCCCGTTATAAGTACGTATCGAAAAAATTGTATCGTGAATTTGTTGATCGAACTGAACTATCAATTAATGCCAATCCTTCCAACTTTTGGAAGTTTATAAAGAGACAAGCCCACAATTCTGATATTCCTAAAACACTAACGCTTAATGGTGTTTCCAGTTCTAATGAACAAGATGCAGCTGACATGTTCACCTCATACTTTAAATCTGTATACTCATGTGAAGTCTTTAATGATAATGTGAATGATCTCAATATTCAATCTTTTGACCTACCTAATAATGCATACTTCACTGTTGATGACGTTTTTCATAGTCTTTCTACGTTGTCTGGTGCTAAAAATGTAGGTCCTGATGGTCTCTCCTGCGTTTTTCTATTTCAGTTTCTTTCTATTATAGCCTATCCTTTATTTTTGCTGTTCAGACGTTCTCTTGATGAGGGTATTTTTCCCTCAATTCTTAAACTCAGTTCGGTCACGCCAGTACATAAATTAGGTATCAAATCCAATATATCTAATTATAGGCCTATATCTATTCAGTCTCACCTATCAAAACTATTTGAATCTTTGGTTTTAAACAGTATTAAACCATCAATAAATAATATTCTTATTGAAGCTCAGCATGGGTTTCGTCCAGGAAGATCAACTACTACATGCAACTTAGTTTTTCCAATTTTGTATTTGAGTCTTTTAAAAAACGGTCTCAAGTTGATGTAGTTTATACTGACTTAGCCAAAGCGTTTGACACTGTTAATCATAAAGTCTTACTGAGAATTCTTGAAGCGTTTGGTTTTGGTGAACCTCTGCTCTCTTGGTTTGGTTCTTTTTTAACGAACAGACATCAATGGGTAAAATTATTTGGTGTCAAGTCAAACATCTATTCGTCTACGTCTGGTGTTCCCCAGGGTGGACATTTATCACCGATTCTATTTTTACTGTTTATCAATAGTGTACATAACGCCTTGCCTTTTTGTCAGCTTTTGTGTTTCGCAGATGATATGAAGCTCTTTATGGAAATCAACTCAGCTGCTGATTGTGTGAATCTCCAAAGTAGCTTTGATTGTTTTGTTAGTTGGTGTTTTAATATAGGCCTTAAAGTCAATGCTTCAAAATGCCGAGTCATGACGTTTACTCGTTCCCGTTCTACTATCCCTTTTGACTACAATATCTCTGGTTTGACAATTGCACGCGTTGATAATCTAATCGACCTGGGTTTTAAACTAGCTAGAAACCTTAGCCCAAGTCCTCATATTGCGATGATTACTAGTAGAGCATTTAAAGTTTTAGGGTTCATTATGCGTCTATCTAAAGACTTTAAATTGTCAAAATCATTAAAATCACTATATTGTGCTTTAGTTCGTCCTATTTTAGAGTACGGGTCGGTTATTTGGGATCCGTACACTGCTCTGATATTAATCAACTCGAACGTGTTCAACATAGATTTTTGAGATTTTGTTGTTTTGTGTTAGGCATTCCCCACTTAGTTCACGACTATACCAATATCGCAAACGTACTTGACCTGCCTACTCTTGCTGAACGAAGAAAAACTCTAAATATAAAATTTATTCGTGGTCTAATTACTAACCATATTGATTCCCCTTGCTTGCTTTCCCAAGTTAACTTCAAAGTCCCTTCGCATGTATCTCGTTCTCATGTGACATTTCATATTCCTAACGCCAACACAAATTATCTGCAAAATGAGCCTTTAAGACGAATCATGTCACTTGCAAATGAGGACCCCTCTTTTGATGATAATTTGTTCTTATGTTCTTAACCACTGTTAATAACTCTTAAGTTTAATATATGCGTTTTATTGCTTACTAATAACTTAAATAAATTGTAATTCTGTTATTTACATATAATATTTTATATTTTTCAATTTTCTACTATTCTAATACATTGTACTGTACGTCTAAATGTTATAGGGGCAACCCGTATATTTTTGTAATAAATAATAAATAATAAATAAATAAATAGTGTTTATACCCAAAATATGTAAGAATATGCACTATTACATGTTATACATTCATTACTATTGTTATGAAACAAATGTGTGTCTCAGTTAGCATGATGTTTTTCTGTGTGGCAAGAAAAACATGCTAATGCTTGAATTTACGAGCCCTGCTTATCAGACTCAAAATTGGTTTAGTGGTAAGAGGAAAATTGATAACATTTCTAAGATTTGAAGACGACATAGCTCGTCTTGTCGATATGTAAAATGATCTGGGAAGAGTGCTGATAGTAATGGCAAGATGTTTCTACAAAAAATCAACGAACATTCACCTGGAATAAAACCAAGGTAATGATGTGTCAAAATATAGATTGGTTAAGAATTCAAATTTATAATTATACTCTTGACCGAGTAGAAAGCTGTAGATACCGAGGTTGTATAATTAGTCAAGACAGAAGATGTATCATAGAAATAAAATCAAGGATTGCTTAGACGAAATCTGTATTCATAAACAAAAAATATCTATTATGTTATAAAAACATGAACATAAGAGTGAAGAAACTGCTAATAAAAACGAATGTCTGGAGTGTCATTACATTATATGGATGCAAAACTTGAGTACTAAACAAAGCGGAACAAAAGTTTTTGAAGTTTTGAGATATTGTGATGGAGAAGAATGATGTGAGTGAGATGAGAGGAATAAATTACAGTATACTAATTTATTATTTATTTATTTCTTATTACTAATCAAAGTAAATGAAGCCAGCAAGATGCTCAATATTAAAGATTAAAGATAGAATATGATTGGCGAGACATGAAGAGGAGCTTTTGGATATTATAATAGAAGAGGAGATAAATTGCAAAACCGACAGAAGACAACCAAGAACATCTTATATAAAAAAAAAATGATATATGATTAGGACTGACAAATTACAAAGACTTGAAGAGGCTAGCTGGTAATATAGACGAGTAGGTATGGAAAACTGCAAAACCAACCTTAGGGTTAAAAACATTTTATATGTCATAAAATGTTGTATTTGATTTTAGAAATACAGATTTTGTATTTAATAAAATTGGAACTCAAACTAATTTGATAAAATTAATTATTAATATTATCAAGTTCAATTATTAACAAAACAAATGTTAACAATGCCCCTGATTAAAAGTGTATCAAAGTATTTTGATTAGATTATTTTTATTTGACGGGCTATTTAGTGAATCAACACTGCAAAATGTTAACTTAACGATTAATAACGATTTAATTTTTAAATTAAAAATGATTCTATATGTTTACACTGAGTTAAATTGGTATTATTAATAATTTGAACTAGGTTTTTTCATTAGCTGGTTAGTTACTAGAGAAAAGGGATGCGTTGTATAGTATAACCTACGTAATTTCAGTATAGAATGATGAATACTCAACATAGTGTAATTCTATGAGTGCCCAAAGAAAAATTATGAGATAAAACATGTCAAATAAAACTCTGAGATACGAGGAGCTACTGTAGCCTGCAGTGCGTAGTAAGGCCTGGAATATAAAGGAAAGGCCAAAGTCAAGTTTTTATTTTGGGGCTTCAAATTGTATTTTTAAATTCTGAGCAGAGAGATGAATGTATTTATTTTACAACAATTTTCAATTTTGGGGATACTTAGGCAACATTTTTTATAAACATTTTTACATTTCTACATTTATCTCATAAATAGTTTATGCAGTAACCAAAATATATGAGCCCAGTTTTGTTTTATAGATATTTTAAGTTCAAATTTGGAAAAAATCAAGTATTCAACAAAGAATAACGATTTTAGTCATTTTATGTTAAAACAAACTTTTCATTTCATTTTTTAAAGTGACCAATAGTTCAAGCAATTGTGGTTTTAAAGTTTCTATATCAGTATCATCAAACAAAATTGTGTTTTCTTTTGTCATCACGTTGGCTACCATGAGTATCATGGGTGCTTCACACCCGCCATGCCATTATATACCAGACATAATTATGACGATCTCTAGTTATGTACCATGGGAGTCACGAGTGACTTACAGATCGTCATTATGTGTGTACCGTGGGAGTAGCGGGTGACTCAAGTATTTCGTTTTTATTAGGTTATGTAGAATTCAATAATCAAGATAACGTATTTTTTCCTCCGTAAAATGATAGCTGACTATATTACCAACATGCGATTTGCGTGATGCATCACCGGTGACTCTCATTTTGAGAAAAAATATTTTTTCACACGTGCTTATTATTTGGGATAAGAGAATAATATTATTAATATAAATATAAATTTTAAATTAGGTACAAATAAATATTTAACAAATGGGTTATACTTTAGTATCAATTATATATTTTGATTGGGACCAAATGGTCAAATAATTATGAAGGATATCACCGGTGATTCTTAACGTATAATACAATACAATTTATTAATTGTGTACCATGAGAGTCACCTGAGTCTCTCAATACAAAAATTAGATATACGTTATATTTATGACATTTCAAACATATTTTATATTTGGAATTTTTTCCGTGACAGACAGTTCAAAAGATACAACCTCGGTACACAAGAAAATTTTTTAAAAAAAACGACTGGTACAGCAGTAAAGACATTGTGTGAGTCACGGGTAATACTCATGGTATGTAATGAAATATTTTGGAAATCAGGTCTGGTATCCGACGTGTATCAAATTTGGAAAAACTTAAAAAATCATCATCAGATACTTCTTCAATGTACATTTTAAGCTTTTCTTCAGAAGCAAAAATCTTACTGGCCATGTGAGGCAAGGTTTTTAGATTATAGAGGTTGCCTCATAATCATGTAAACAAAACCAAAACCCCGCACGCCGCAGCTGATCTAGTGACGTCATTGTAGTATACGATATTACGATTACCGGCGGATAGCCGTGTCGCATTGGAAATGTAATAGAAAAGGTGAAAAATTAATATTTTTGATTAACTTACTGACCTAGGTACTTGAATCAAATTCAAAAATAATTATTAAATTGTTAAATATCTAAACTGTTACAGTTTTAATAAATAAAAATAAATATGAACAAAGGCTAAAAAATATGTGTTTAGATTAGGTAATCAAATGTTTTTCACAAAATGTATTATTTTTATGTCAGAATTTATAGCCATTTTTATTAATTATATTTTTTTTAAATTTTTATTGTTCCAAGTAGTTCAGTTGATCAAACATATACATTTATAATC